TTTTTAATACTGAGGATTGACCCTAGGGGCACTTAACCACTGAGCCTCATCGTCAGCCCTTTTATTTTTCATTTTTTAAAATTGTGTATAGACTCAATGCCTTTATTTGTTTTTATGTGGTGCTAGGATCAAACTAATAACTCACACTTGCAAGGCAAGTGCTCTACCACTGAGCCACAACTCCAGCCCCTTTATTTTTCATTTTGAGACAGGGTCTTGCTAAGTTGCTTAGAGCCTCACTAAAGTATGAGGTTGGCTTTGAACTTGCAATCCTCCTGTATCAACCTCCTGAATAGCCTGCATTATTGGTGTGTGCACCATGCCTGGCCAACCTGTTTGTTTTCAAAATATGCATGAGATGTAACAAATTTTCTGTCATATCTTTTCAAACTGGGGTTCTAAATCTCAGCCTTGTGGACTTAGGGCAGTGTTTCTTAAAGTGTGTCCAGCAGAATCTCAGGTATGCTTATGAAAAATGAGAACTCCATCTATACACTCCTGTAGCTCTTCCTCTAAGCTTCTGGTTTGAGATGGAACCCGGCAATTTGAATTATAAGAAGCAGCCTACATGCAAAGAAAATTTTATAATTACTACTCTGGCAAGCCATGATTTGGGTCTGAAGAATTTGTAAACTTAAACTGAATATTTTTTTAGGGCATAGATTATTCATTTTTTTCTGGGAAGAGAGTCTATAAACCTCTCATAACTCAAGAAGGATTAAGTCATTGTCCCAATTAGGCTACTTTGGACTATAATTTATAGTCCTGTGGACTATAAATCTTAGTTTTCTTTTAGCATAGCAAGTACATTTTATTCATGAGGTGATTTGTGTATGTATGTTATGACTTCCTAACATACTATTTTGTTGATTCTATTAAATTGAATTTTAATCTCCTAGTTATTAATTTTTTTACTGAAGTGTGCTGTTCCCCAAAACTACATTGGATAAATAATAATTCCTAACATTTATTTATTGAGAACCACAATGTGCTAGTTATTTTATTAAATTCAATACATAGATTATTTTAATCTTCATAGCAACTCCATGAAGTTACTGTTGTTATATTCATTTGACAAATAAGAAATTTGAGGCATGGAGTATTTAATTAACTTAACCAAATTAACATAGTTTGTGAATAATCGAACCAAGAAATTGAATTCTTTCTGGTGTGACTCAATTTTATGCAATTCTGCAAGTTTGCACAAATGAGTTATGTTTAGTTTAGGAATAATGGAAAGTGTGTGTGTGTGTGTGTGTGTGTGTGTGTATGATAGAATATTATTCAGCCTTTTAAAAGAAGAAAATGTTGTCGAGTGAAAAAAGCCAGATATGTTTAAAAAAAATACTACATGATTTCACTTATGTGGTAACCAAAAAACCCAAATGCCTAAAATAGAATGGTTACCAGGGATGGGGTAGAAAGGGATAGTAAGATATTGGTCAAAGGGTACAAAATTTCAATTATATATGATAGTTTCTACAGATCTAATGCACAGGATGGGGATTATAGTTAATGATACTGTATTATACATTTGAAAATTGTTAAGAGATACCTTAAGTGTTCTCACCACATACAAAAAGGTAACCATGTGACAATATGGATATATTAATTAGCTTAATTGTAATATTAGTTGACTACATTATGTATATTAGAACATTACACTTTCTACTTTAAGCATATACATTTTTAACTAAAAATTTTAAAGAATAGAAGATGATAGTTATATGGTAACTTTATATAGTTAAACTTTTTTTAGAAATTCAGATTTTGAATTTTTAAGTTGTTTCTTTTTCAGATCAAAGACAGTGCATCACAGACAAGGGATGTCCTCAAACAGCATTTTAATGATTTAAAGGGAACTCTTGGGAAGCTACTCGATGAACGATTGGTGACCCTTTTGCAAGAGGTAGACACCATTGAACAGGAGACCATTAAACCACTAGATGACTGCCAGAAGCTCATCGAACATGGAGTTAACACTGCAGAGGACTTAGTTCGAGAAGGTGAGAGTCCAGGAAGCCTATTAAATATGGTTCATTGAGATTGATGTTTGGCTGATTTCTTAGGATACCAGAAGGCTTCTTGTCATCTGTGTGGTGCTTGGGATGTTTCTACCTTGACAGCTTATAATATAGGATTAAGATATACTGTAGGCATTTCAGGGTACATGTAATTGAGATATTTGAAACAAGAAGGAGTGAGTGATTTGTCTCAAATAGTTCTATAGAAATAATATCTGTTTCATTTTTAACACAATTTTAAGGTAATTTTGAATCTGTTCAAATATTTTTCAAGGATCATAGAATTTAAATCTAAATTAAAAGGGCTAATTTAAGTTTAAATATGATTGATATTGACTTATGAAATTGAGTTGTTATATTTCTGTCTTCAGCCAGTGTTTTTAAGTCATGCCCAGATCTTGTCTTCTTGTCTTCTTTCCTTCATGTTGACTTCCCTGCCTTCAACATAGGTCTTCATCAAGTGTTTCGTTTCTTTTTAAAAAAAAAAAACAAAACTGGGGATTGAACCTTCAGCCCCAGTTCTTTTTTAATTTTTATTTTGAGAGAAGGTCTCACTAAGTTGCTGAAGCTTAGCCTTTAACTTGTGAGACTTCTACCTCAGCTTCCTGACTCAATGGGATTACAGGTGTGTGCCACCCTGCCCAGCTCTTTGTAAGATACATTAAATGTTCTTTGAGGTTCACAGCCCAGTGGGAGAGATATACATGCCTAGAGAGATGGAAGAACTTACTGGAACATGGAAGAGGAGGTGCTTCAGTCTCTCTGGAAAAGTAGAGGGTAGATTTTTGCAGGAGGAGTTCCCCAGAGGCTGGAAGAAAGTCATCAAGTAGACAAGGGAAAACAGAGGGTAACCAGGATTCCAAGTGGAAGTAATGTCTGGAGTAGAGTGAACGGCATATTCAAGGATTTATTGAAGTATTTTTTTAGATGACACTGTCTACAGTCTGGAGATTGGATCATAGGTGGTGAGACTGGAGGTAGAAAAGACTGATTAGAAAGTTACAGTTGGGCTGGGGATGTGGCTCAAGGGGTAGCGCGCTCGCCTGGCATGCGTGCGGCCCAGGTTCGATCCTCAGCACCACATACAAACAAAGATATTGTGTCCGCCGAGAACTAAAAAAATAAATATTAAAATTCTTTCTCTCCTCCCTCTCTCTCTCTCTCTCTCTCTCTCTAAAAAAAAAAGAAAGAAAAGAAAGTTACAGTTGTCCAGAGAAAAATGAAGATGAGACAGGGCTGCTTTTAAAGAGGTTTTGGTTTTGGTTTGGTTTTGAGATAGAACTGAGATTATCAATCAGCAGCTATTGATTTTGGGTGATTATCGAGGAAAAGGGGAAAGCCAACCTAGTTTTGGATGATTGGGTGAGTGGTGGTGCTAAAGGGTGAGGGGAGGGTCTTAGTGAGTATTTAGGCATTTTTTTTTTTTTTTAGTTGTACACAATACCTTTATTTTGTTCATTTATTTTTATGTGGTGCTCAGGATTGAACCCAGGGCTTTGCACATGCTAGGGGAGCACTCTACCAGTGAGCCACAACCCCAGCCCCTAGGCATTTGGTTTGAAGTGAATTTGAGGTACTTAACATGAAAATGTGGGTAAAATGCTTAGGAGAGAAATCATGCTGGAGATGTCAGTGTGCATACAAGTCAAATCTGAATCTGTGGGAGATGTCAATGTGCATACAGATCAAATCTGAATCTGTGGGAATAAGTAAAATCATCATATCATGAGAAAAATAAGTGTCAGAGGGTAGAACATTAAGGGATGCTAGCATTTAAAGGACGGTTGGGATAAAGAAGCCTCTGAAGGAGACTAAACTCTTTCACAGAGTGAGCGCTATGAGTGGCGTAAGATAAAAAGTCTAGATAGCTCATAAGCTTGGAACTAAAAGTTGATTGCTTTTGTCCCACTTAGAATGTGGCACTACTGTTATCTTTACATGCTAATAATAGTTTTCTCTTTTCTTCAATGGGAAGTGTTTATTTTTCACTGACCTTAACAGTGCCTTTGAGAAAATTGTTTTCAGCAGGAACACAGGCTGTCTTTTCCCAGAGGCTTTGCATTTGGAAACAAACCCAGAAACAGGTCAGCACAGGTCAGGGTTGTGCACCCATTGCCCTGAAAACTAAGAAATGTTTTCATTTTAGAAAAAGTCCTTTGAGGCACATAACATGTTTGTTATAGCATTTGACACTTGAATTTTTTTTTTTTTAAATACTGCAGAAATATTTTTCATGGGCTGGCGTTGTGACTCAGTGGTACAGTGATTGCCTAGCACTTGAGAGGCCCTGGGTTCAATCCTCAGCACCACATAAAAATAAAAAAAATAAAGGTATTTTGTCCAACTACAACTAAAAAATAAATATTAAAAAATATTTTTCACTTCAGACTCTTTCTTGACTCTTTCTCCCAAGGGATAAACACTTATTTATGGAATTTTGAGGATTTTGAGGCTGTATTCAATATCTCTGGTTTTTTTTTGGTCAAGAAAGTCAGATGGTCTCAAAGAACTCAAGTAAATCCAGGGTACTTTCAAATGGAAAACATTCTGGCAATGTCCTTCAGCTGTGGAACCATAATTTTCTTACCCTCTACATAGCTTTTTCTTTTTCTTTTTTTTTTTAATATTTTTTTCATTGTTGATGGACCTTTATTTTATTTATTTAAACATGGTGCTGAGGATTGAACCCAGTGCCTCACACATGCTAGGCAAATGCTCTTCCACTGAGCTACAACACCGGCCCCATAGCATTTCTTTTTTGTTGTTCTGTTGTGTGATTTCTGATCTGCTAAGATTCTCTAGGAGAGGTGGACAGAAGTTCCTGAGCCTGTTGCTTTGTGTAAAATTGATTGTCCAACCAATTTTGCTTTTTTAGAGCAGAATCACTAATATCTGGCAAAATGTTCCATTTTCCCTTCTTAGGCTTACTAATAAAGTCACTTCTTAAATAGTTTCTACTTTTATATATTAGGAATTTGATTATGGTGTCACTTAGGAATTTTTTGCAAGAAAACTGAAAACCCAGATAGATAGTGGTTGTGTTGATTATACTAATTGTGTGACCATTTTTCACTGTAATAGTTCTTTCTCTTGATTGTAGGTGAGATCGCCATTCTTGGTGGCATAGAAGAACAGAATGAGAAACTTTGGAGCTTTACCAAAAAGGCCTCACACATTCAGTTGGACAGGTAAAAAAGTTTTTGACTTTTTTTTTCTTTTTGTGGCATTAAGGATTATTTTAAAGGCCTCACACATGCCAGGCAAGTTCTCTACAACTGGAACTACCACTTCAGACATTTTTTATTTTTAAAAATTTGCGACAGGTTCTCACTAAATTTGGCCAGACTGGCTTTGAACTTGCCAGCCTCCTGTCTTAACTCTTCTAGTAGCTGGGATTACAGATATGTGGTACTATGCTCAGCTGGATTTACTATTTTTGGGGGTGGGGGAGGTATCAGGGATTGAACTCAGGGGCACTCAACCACTGAGCCACATCCCCACCCCTATTTTGTATTTTATTCAGAGACAGGGTCTCATGGAGTTGCTTAGCACCTTGTTTTTGTTGAGGCTGGCTTTGAACTCACGATCCTCCTGCCTCAGCCTCCCAAGCAGCTAGGATTACAAGTGTGCACTACTGCGCCTAGCTGGACTGACTTTTAAACATTTAAACTATGTCTTCTTTTGCCCCCATTAAAGATTCTGATTAAGGGGGATTGAGAATAAAGTTTTCAAAGTATCATTACTCATTATCATTAGTATTAGCATCAAATAGTTGTGATTATAAATCTTTGGCATCATAATACTATAGATTTTTTTTTTCAATTTCAGTGGAGAAGAGAATTGTTGTATTTGCTTTAGGCAGCATACACTCTAAAGTTGGAATAATTCAGAGAAAATTAGCATGAACTCTACGGGGACAGGATTCTGAATATATAATTGAAATTGATACATATTTTAGTAAAGCAGATCTTTTGGTATAAATTGACAGTTGTGATCCTACCAGTTTTTGCCCCTGTTTATTTGAGAAGACAATTGTTATGTAATCTTTTTTTTTTTTTTTTTTGGAACTGGGGGTTGAACTCAGGGCTTTATGAATGCAACCAGATGCTTTGCCTCTGAGCTACATCCCAGCCCTGTTATGTAATCTTTATGAAGATAAAAGGCCTTCACCACAAAGTCCCCCACTGTCACAAGAATTATTTACCAAGGACTTCAGGACCCTTCTAGGATGTTGCTAATCTAAAATATTCTTTATATCTTTAACTTTATTCTAATTTTAATTTAGGTTAAAAGCCTCATAAACACATGAGCTTTGTTTCCTCAGCTTACCAGAAGTGCCTTTACTGGTTGATGTGCCTTGTTTATCTGCTCAGTTGGATGATTCAATTCTTAACATAGTGAAAGATCACATTTTTAAGCATGGAACAGTAGCCTCTCGCCCACCAGTGCAGATAGAAGAACTAATAGAGAAACCTGGAGGCATCATAGTACGATGGTGTAAGGTATGTAATTCAGGATTGTAGAAGTGGCCTCAATATTATAGGTTTAAGATTGGGAACACTGAAGTTCTTTCATTAAACTGCCTTTAAATATTTTCTTATCTTTCCAAACAAAAGTCCCTTTTGCTTTACAATTAAGATGAAGTCACTGTGAACATAAAAGAGGGTGATTCTACAGTTTGAAATAAATAGTTTTGAAGGTACTTGTGTGTGTGTGTGTGTGTGTGTGTGTGTGTGTGTGTGTGTGTGTGTTATTAGGCAAATGCTCTGCCTTGGGCTCCATCACCAGCCTCTTGAAGATACTTTGAAAAATCTATTCCAACATTGTGTTTTGTTTGTTCTTTTTAGATATACATGACAGTATAGTATATTTTGACATATTATATATACATGGAGTATAACTTATTCTAATTAGGATTCTATTCTTGTGGATGCACATGATGGTATGTTCTTATGTCAACAAAGGAAGGTTATATCTGATTCATGCTCCTGCCAACATTGTGGGGTTTTTTGTTTTGTTTTGTTTTTGTTTTTTGATAGCAGGGATTGAACCCAGAGGTCTTAACCACCAAGCCACATCTCCAGCCCTTTTGTTTACATTTTATTTAGAGGCAGGATCTTGCTGAGTTGCTTAAGGCCTCACTAAGTTGCTGAAGCTGGCTCTGAACTCTGATCCTCCTGCCTCAGCCTCCTGAGCTGCTGGGATTACAGGTGTGTGCCACCGTGCCAGCTAATATTGTTTCTTTTTTTAAAATATTTTTTAGTTGTATATGAACATGATACCTTTATTTTTATTCTCTTTTTAATAGCTCTACTTCTGAGCCACAACCTCAACCCTCTTTTTTTTTTTTTTTAATGTGGTGCTGAGGATCAAACCCAGTGTCTCACACCTGCTAGGCAAACGTTGTACCACTGAGCCACAACTCCAGCCCCCAACATTGTTTTTTAACATACATTTCCGAGGACTTAACTCTCAGTGAATTGAGAATTTCTTCCTTTTCTATTTATTAGAAAAGCCAGAAGATGACAGTGAATTTGACTATCTTAATTTTTTTGTTCAGCATTGAGCTAATAACCTTTGAAATAGGATTTCTGATTGAGCTCTGTGGTGCACTCCACCCAGCAGCTCAGGAGGCTGAGGGCAAAAAGATCTAGAGTTCAAAGCCAGCCTCAGCAAAAGGAAGGTGCTAAGCAACTCAGTGAAACCTTGTCTCTAAATAAAAAATACAAAATTGGGCTGGGGATGTAGCTCAGTGGTTAAGTGCCCTGAGTTCAATCCCAAGTAACCACCCCAAAAAAACAAGAAAAGAAAAAAAGAAATAAGACTTTTTTTTTAAGAGATAATACTTCTTTTATTTATATATTTTTTAGTTGTAATTGGAAACAATATCTTTATTTTATTTTTATGTGGTGCTGAGGATTGAACCCAGGGCCTTGCTCATACTAGGTGAGCGCTCTACCGCTGAGCCATAACCCCAGCCCCCCGAAATAAGACTTTTTTGGTACTGGGGATTGAATGATTAACCACTAAGGCATGTCCCCAGCCCTTTTTATTTTATTTATTTTTGAGACAGGTTCTCCAATTACCTAGGGTCTCACTACATTGCCTAAGCTGGTTTTGAACTTTCAGTTCTGCCTTAGCCTCCCTAGTTGCTGGGATTATAGGTGTGTTCCTTAAACTCTCAGCATTGCCCAGAATTTTGCATATTAAGTCATGTTATGTGTTTGATTTAACCATATTTTAAGTACAAACAACATCAAAATTAGCTATAGTATATAATATGTTAACTGTGAAGAAATACATCATTCAGAGGGGAATGCTTAGCTTCTGGAAGGTATTTTCTTAAATGGATTCTTTATATATATATATAATTTTTTTAGTTGTAGTTGGACCCAATACCTTTATTCCATTCATTTATTTTTATGTGGTGCTGAGGATTGAACCCAGAGCCCTGCGCATGCTAGGCAAGTGCTCTACCACTGAGCCCCAACCCCAGCCCCTTAAATGGATTTTTTAAAAAAGTTTTTTAGCTGTAGATGGACACAATACCTTTATTTTATTTAGTTTTATATGATGCTAAGGATAGAACTCAGTGCCTTACATATGCTAGGCAAATGCTCCACTGCTGAGCCAAAACCTCAGCCTTTTTTTTTTCCTCTTTTTTAAGAGTCCTAGTGTGAAAGAAAGAAGTAGAGATGCTTTTGTTGGTACAAAAGAATTTCATTATTGCTCATATTCTCTACCACCACTGCCACCACCGTCACCAACAAAACAAAGAAACCCTGAGGAATCTTATTTCATTTTTATTATTTTGATGGTCACTCTACGTAGGGTTATTTCCAGTTTCTGTTTTTTTGCTATAAGCATTCTTACTCATGTTTCTTTGCACAGAGGCATAAGTTTTTTTTTTTTCTGATATGTACCTAGCTGTAAAATGATGAGATCTTAAAAGTATTGGATTTATATACTATTAGGTAGTACTGGTCTTTTAAAAAAATAATTGCATGAGTTTAGCTTTCCATCACTGTATGTGAAAGTGTTCTTCAATGTCTTCACCAATGTTTGGTATTGTCAGATTTTTTATTTTTGCCAAAATGGTATTCATTATGATTATTACATTGCATTTCCATATTATGAATTGGTTTGAATATTTTTCTTTTCTTTTGGCTATTTACATTTACTTCTTCATCTTCTTTTCTTCTCTCTCTCTCTCTCTCTTTTTTTTTTGGTACTGAGGATTGAACCCAGGGGCACTTTATCATTGAGCTACTTCCCCAGTCCTTTTACTTTTCATTTTGAGACAGGGTCTTGCTAAGTTGATTAAGGATTAAGGACTTGCTAAATTGCTGAGGCTGTCCTTTTTTTTTTTTTTTCTAATTTTAATATTTATTTTCTAGTTTTCGGCAGACACAACATCTTTGTTTGTATGTGGTGCCGAGGATCAAACCCAGGCCGCACGCATGCTACCGCTTGAGCCACATCCCCAGCCCCTGAGGCTGTCCTTGAACTTGCAATCTTTCTGCCTTACCTTCAGAGCTGCTGGGACTACAGGCATATGCCACTATGCCTGGATTGCGATTTATATTTCTTTTTTTTTTTTTTTTGGCTTGGGGGAACATTGGAATTGAACCAAGAGCACTTAACCACTGAACCACATCCCCAGCACTTTAAAAAAAAATTTTTTTTGTAGTTGTAGATGGACAGCATGCCTTTATTGTATTTGTTTTTATGTGGTGCTAAGGATTGAACCCAGTGCCTCACATGTGGTTAGCAAGCACTCTGTCACTGAGCTACAGCCCCAGCCGCCCCAGCACTTTTTATTTTTTATTTAGAGACGAGTTCTCATTAGATTGCTTACAGCCCTGCTAAGCTGCTGAAGCCAGCTTTGAACCTGCAATCCTCCTGCCTCTGCCTCTCTAGCTGCTGGGATTACAGGCATGCCCCACCATGCCTGGCTCTTGGCGATTTATATTTCTTAATCTAACTTACTCATATCTTTTGCCTATTTTTCTGTTGAGTGTCTTGTCTCCTATTTATTTTTAGGATTATACATTACAGGTATTAATTCTTTATTATATGAGTGCTGTATAGACCTTTCAGAATTATTCCTGAATTCTGAATGTTTTACTAAGGCATTATTATTTAGAAAAACATGCCATTTCTTCAAGGAATCAGATTTTTTAAAATATCAGTCTCGGAAGTATTATAAACACTTCAGTCAATAAAGAAAAGAAAGGAACTAGTGATGACATATTTCCTATGGCCTTCCCTAGAATAGCCCATATCTAACCTATGGGTCTGTATGCTTGATCCAGAATCTCTCCATTCATTTCCTCGTTTTTACCTAACATAAAACCTTTCTTTTTAGGTGGATGACGACTTCACAGCCCAAGATTACAGGCTTCAGTTCCGTAAATGCTCTTCAAATCATTTTGAAGATGTTTATGTAGGTTCTGAAACTGAATTCATAGTATTGCACATAGACCCCAATGTTGATTATCAGTTCAGAGTCTGTGCCCGAGGAGACGGCCGGCAGGAGTGGAGCCCGTGGAGCGTCCCCCAAATAGGTCATTCTACATTGGTGCCTCATGGTATGCAATACCGTCTCACCCCTAAGGTTTAACTGCATATAGAAACAGTTACGTTCTGTGCTAAGGGCTACCTACTGACAACTTTTTTTCTTCTTTATTTTTTAATTGCTTTTATTTTTGAAATACATGACAGCAGAATGCATCACAATTCTTATTACACATATAGAAAATAATTTTTCATATCTCTGTATATAAAGTATGTTCATACCAATTCATTGGTCTTCATGCATGTACTTTGGATAATGATGTCCATCACATCTTTTCTAAAGATAAATCCTGAAGTGATGAGAAGAGCATGAAATATCTTGTACTCAAATTACAGTTCCTTCATGTAAATTTTGTTTTTATCAGTTCTTATCTAGGGATTTCAAAAATAATGCTAGATATATTCTTAGCATCACCTAAAATCAAAGATTGAATATATTGCATAGGACACAAAGTTTTTCAAACCTTCAATAAATATCTGGGCAGAGGCAGTTTCTTAAATCTTAAGATTTGAAATTGGTCTCTCTTCTCCATTACTATTTCTAAAGACATATTTTTTTCTCCTTTTTTTTTTTGATAAAAAACAGAGTTTCACTTTTCGCTATATTGCCCAGACTGGACTGGAACTCCTGGGCTTTACCAGTCATCCTGCCTCATCTGCCTAAGTAGCTGGAACCACAGGCATGTGCCACACCTAGCCATTTATTAATAGGTAGTTTTTTTTTTCTTCTTCTTCTTCTTTTTTTTCCCCCTAGTACTGGGGATTGAACCCAGAGCCTCACCCATACTAGGCAAGTGCTCAACCACTGAGTTATACCCCAGCCCTTTTCATTTTGTTTTGACACAGGGTCTTGCTAAATTGTCCAGGCTGGCCTTGATGATTGCAGTCCTCCTGCCTCGGCCTCCTAAGTAGCTGGGATAATAGGCAGGTGCTACTATGCCTGGCAGTGTTCTTTCTTTAATGTGGTGCTAGGCATTGAACTCAGGGCGTTGCTCATGCTAACTGTGCACTCTACCATTGAGCTACACTCCCAGGCCCTATTAATTAGTCAGGTTGGAATAAACTCAGACTTTAACCATGTTTTTTTTTTTTTTCTTTTTTCTGGGGATTGAACCCAGTACTACATCCCCAGCCCTTTTTATTTTTTAGTTTGAGACAGGGTCCTGCTAAGTTGCTGAGGCTGGCTTTGAGCTTGTAATCCTTCTGCCTCAGTGTTCCAAGTTGCTGGGATTGCAGGAGTGTGCTATCACAACAGATTTAAAACATGATTTTTATTAGCTAGGAGATAACACTTAATTGATGCTGTACCAAAAATGTGTAGGAATGTACTAAAATCTTTCTGTAATTTGTAAGAGTACCATGATACCCCATAATTGAAACCCTTTATCTTAGTAAATTTGGCTATGACCTCTATTAGTAGTCATTTTTTAATGTGTCTGTATTGAAGTTATCCTTAAATAGGAGTCTAATAATTTTCAATGTCTTTGCTTTTAAAAAGAGTGGACAACTGGCTTTGAGGGATACAGTCTGAGCAGTCGAAGAAATATAGCACTCCGGAATGATTCTGAATCCTCAGGTGTTCTCTACTCCAGCGCTCCAACCTATATTTGTGGGCAGACATTAACATTCAGGCAAGTGGATATGAATATATCTGTCATAATCTGGGCACAGTGGTGTCCATCTGTAGTCCCAGCTACTTGGGAGGCTGGGACAGGAAGATTGCTTGAGACTATGAATTTGAGACCAGCCTGAGCAGCATAGCTAGATCCTGTCTAAAACATATTTTTTTAAAATGATAAAACATCTGTCATAACTTAAATAACATAACAAAGTACACAGAACATGTATGAGCTTTAAATTAAAAATATCCTGAATTTATTTATCATTCATAGGCAGTGTTACTTTGGGGAGGGTTCTTTATTTCTGTGTTCAGTTTTCTCATCTGTATTCATAAAGTATTATGAAGATTAACTGATATGTGTATAAAAATGTGTGTAAAAACTCAACATGAGGGGTTGGGATTGTGGCTCCGTGGTAGAGCGCTCGCCTAGCATACATGAGGCACTGGGTTCGATCCTCAGCACCGCAAAAATGTAAAATAAAGATATTGTGTCCACCTAAAACTTAAAAATAAATATTAAAAAAAAAAAAAAAAAACCTCAACATGTGGGCTGGAGATATAGCTCAGTTGGTAGAGTATTTGCCTCGCATGTGCAAGGCCCTGGGTTCAATCCCCAGCACCACCAAAAGAAAAAAACAAAGAAATAATACTTCATAAGTCTCTCTACCACCTCCCACCTCCCCCCCTCCCACCTGTGGTACTGGGAATTGAACCAAAGGTCACTTTACCACTGAGCTATATACCCAGATTTATTATTTATTTATTTATTTTTAAATAAATTTATTTTTAAATAAATAAATAAAATAAAGGTATTGTGTCCATCTACAACTGAGCCACAACCCCAGCCCTTTATTATTTATTTTGAGACAGCGTTTTACCGAGGCTGGCCTCAAAATTGGGGTCCTCCTGCTTCAGACTTCCAAATTGCTGGGATTATAGACAAGCACCTTCCCACTTGGCTTAAAAATCATTTTTAAGGGCTGGGGTTGTGGCTCAGTGGTAGAGTGCTTGCCTAGCAACGTGAGGCCCTGGGTTCCATCCTCAGCACCACATAAAAATGAAGTAAAGATATTGTGTTCACCTACAACTAAAAAAAATAAATATTAAAAGAAATCATTCTTAAAAATTCAGAGGCCAGGGCTGGGATTGTGGCTCAGTAGTAGAGCACTTGTCTAGCACGTGTGAAGTGCTGGGTTTTATCCTCAGTACCACTTAAAAATAAATAAATTAAATTAAGGTATTGGGTCCATCTACAACTAAAAAAAAAAAAAAAAAATCAGAGGCCAAGGATTTTTTTTGCTCTGTCAATCTATGAGAACAAGTCTCTGAGAGAGATAAATATCAGTGTACACAAACCATGCAGATGCTTCTCTGTAAAATGAGGTTCCTCGTGGTAGGGTTAGTTACAAGAAGGAGCAAATAATTAGAGGGTTGAGATTTTTTCAACCCCACCTACCAACATCCAGGAAAGGGCATGGGGTAGGCCGTGCTGGAGAGTAAACTCTGTAGAAACTGTTGAGTCACAAGGTTTGATGAGCTTTCAGATTGCTGTACACAATGAACTGCTGGAAGGGCGTTGCACCTAGAGGGAGTGTGCCATCTCTTGCCCTCCTTCATCCCTTACCCTATAGAACTCTTTGTCTGCTCATCTCTGTTCTTTATAAACTGGTGAACATTGTTTCTCTGAGTTCCAGGATCATTCTATCAAAATATCCCCCAGAGGAGGAGGAGGTCATGGGAACTCCTAGTTTATACCAAGTTAGCAGCATGTGAAGCTCAGATTTATGATTGGTACCTGAAATGGGGGCAGCCTTGTGGGATCTAATGCTGTCTCTAGGTGGAGTGTCAGAATTGAGTTGAATTATAGAACATCCAGCTGGTGTCCAGGGAGTTGGAGAATCGGTTGCTGTGGGGTGGGGGAAACAGAACAGCCCACACATGGTCAGGGAAGTGTTCTGTGCTGTACTGAGGATGAGTATATAAGAAAAGATTGTTTTTTCCTTCATACAGTATTAGATTTTCAACTGTTGTATCCTCAAGCTTTAAATTCTCATTCTCAAGAGAAGCCCCAATTATCATGCATTATCTTTTAAATATATATCTGATTTGGTTTTTAATATTTTATTGAGGATTTTTGGGTTTCACAAGAGGTGTATTTGTGTTTTTTCTTATGCCTTTGTAAACTAGTTTTATTACCAACGTAATAGCCAACCTCAAAGAAATTTAGGAAGTATTTCTTCTTTGCTTTCTAAAAGTATTTGTATTGAATTGGTATTATTTCATCCTTACATGTTTACCAGAATTTACCAATGAATTTGTCATCCTAGAGTTTATCTGTTGGAAGATTTTCAATTAGATATAGGACTATAGTCCTATAATATAGGGCTCTTCAAATTATCCATTTCTTTTTTTAAAATATATTTTATGTTTTAGAGTATTTTAAGGTTTACAACAACTAAGAGAAAGGTACAGAGAATTCTCTTGAAGTGCCCTCTGCCCCAATATATGCATAGCTTCCTCTATTAACAGTATTCCCCACAAAAATTGTACATCTGTCACAACTGAGAAACTTACATTGACACATCATTGTCACTCAAAATTCTTGATCAATGTTTTAAGAGACAATAAATCCTATTTTAGAGTTAGTGTAGCAAGGAATGTATTTCTGTATCAAAAATCCTTTGCCACAGGCTGGGGTTGTGGCTCAGTGGTAGAGCACTTGCCTAGCATGTGTGAGGCACTGGGTTGAATTCTTAGTACCACATATAAATAAATAAAGTCCATTGACAACTAAAAATAAAAAATTTTTTAAAAATGCTTTGCCACGAATTGATAAGGCATCCTTCTCTCTTCCTTTTTCTTAACAAGTTTTTTTTTCCCACTTTAACAAGGACATGTTTGTTGACATATGACTTAATACCTCTTCCTTGGGATTGTCAGACTTACTTGTCACATTCCTGCAGTATGTGATCGTCCTCATGTCACTGATTCGTTTAGCAGCATTAAGTATTGATATTTTTTCCTCAATCTGTAACTGATAGACAAAATAAAATTCTCATTTTGTTATTTCTTAAATTTACTATGAAGTTAATCATTTTCACAAGTTTATTAGCAATATAGCTAAATTTTTAAAATCTTTGTTCTAGGTGTTCACTTTAGGAAGAAGGAAGCTTGAGATTGGATATTAATGATACCTTGCTATTTAAATCTAAAAATAGCCAAAGTGCAGATTAATAGGAGTAAATTAGCTAGCTGGTTTTTTTTAATTGTCATTGTACTTTTATTTTATTTATTTATATGTGGTGCTAAGACTCAAACCTAGAACCTTACACATGCTAGGCAAGTGCTCTACGACTGAGCCACAGCCCCAGTCTTAGCTAGCTGTTTTGATGTCTTTGAAATTTCTCCCTTTTTGGACCTTGTTCTTTTTAAACCTTGTTCTTTTTTACCTTTGAGAAAGATTATCATCTAGAACTTCTATCCTACTCTATGAAATAGATGAATTCCAACAAATTTTTACATAAATTTATTTTTTAAATTAATTATTTGTCAGGTTATTTTTGTATGTGGTGCTAGGAATTGAAATCAGGGCCTCACATGTACTGGGCAAGCACTCTACCACTGAGCTACACCCCCAAACCTTATAGAAGGTTTTACCTCCTGCATTGAACCCAGGGGTACTCTACCATTGAGTCATGTCCTCAGCCCTTTTTATTTTATTTTTATTCTTCTGGCACTGGGGATTGAACTCGGGGGCACTCTACCATTGAGCCATGTCCTTAGCCCTTTTTATTTTTTATTTTTAGACCAGAGTCTTGCTAAGTTGCTTAGGGCTCACTAAGTTGCTAAGGACTGGCCTTGAACTTGTGATCCTCCTGCCTCAGCTTTCTAGATGGTTGGAATTACAGGCCTGTGCCACTGCCTCTAGCTCTGGTATCTGAAATTTGTGTCAGGATTTTATTATGTAAATTGACTAAATCATAGTTTGCAGTTCACATTCCTTCCCCTCCCCAGAGGTTGAGTTGATATCATGTGGTTCAAAGGTTGGTCTTTGTGGCAGTTTCCATCCAAAGTCATCTTGTTAGGAGTAAACTATCCAGGGACCCACCTTGAGTCACTTTATTAACGTAAGCTGTCCAGTGTGAGAGGTCCACCATGAATAGCAAACACACTCCTGTCTCAAGGAAAATTCCTCCCAGGAACCAGGACATAAACCAGCCAAATTCTTTATTATACAATATTATAACAAATATACACTATTATTTATCCAGGATTCATAAGTATTTATTTTTTAGAGAAACAACAAATTAGGGATAAAATTTTGGTCCTAGCTGGGCATAGTGGTGCACACCCAGGTACTCTAGAGGCTGTGGAAGGAGGATTGCAGATTTTGAAGCCAACCTGGGCAACTTAACCAGACCTTCTCAAAATAATATAGAAAGGGCTAGGGAGGTCACTCAATACTGCTGGGGATGTCCCCTAATTAGTAGAGTGCTTGCTTAGCATGCACAAGGCTCTGGTTTTAAATATCTTAATGTTTATTTTAGAATAAAACCGAAGATTATCATAATCAGAAAGTTAATAGTTATAATACTATTATCTAATCTATAGACCCTACCAGATTTAGTTGTTTCAGTTAACATTCTTTATAGAAAAAGTCTTGCATCATGTATCATGTCTTTATAGTCTCTTTTAATCTGGAATAGTTTTTCTATTGTTTTGACTCTCTGAAGAGTGTAAGCTAGTTATTTTATAGAGTGTTCTCCAACTTGGGGAGTATTTCCTAAGGATTAAATCCAGTCATGGATCTTTGGCAGAAGTATTATAGAAATGATGTCACATTCTTCTCAGCATCATATCAGGAACCACTTGATGTTAGTTGACATGTTGCTGGTGCTGTTAAGTCAATAAATCCCAAGTTTTTAATTCTGGGAATATTTTAAATGAAATTGACACAGGTTCATTAAAATAGGTTGGAAATCATAATCTAGAGTTTATTGATTTACTATAATAATGTTAATGACATTAATAATGTTAATGATATTAATAAATATTATCACTAATCATTCACCTGTTTTCTCAAAAAAATAGATCTCTTAAAATATATATAATTTTTCAGTATTGAGCATGGTGGCACATTCCTATAATCCCAGAGGCTCAGGAGGCTGAGGCAAGAGGATCATGGTTTCAAGGCTATTCTCAGCAATTTAGTGAGGCCTTAAGCAACTTAAGGAGACCCTGTCTCAAAATAGAAAACATAAAATGGACTGGGGATGTGTGATGTCCCACTGGGTTCAGTCCCTGGGATCAAAAATAATTATTTATATATTTACATATATATATTTTTTTTTTCAAAGTTGCCATAAGTGTTGTATTTCTTGGTCAATTTAAGTTTTGTAGGTGTTTCATAACAGGAGATGGGATAGGATGGATTAACTTTAACATTTGGTTAAGGTGGTATCTAACAAGTATTTTTTAAGGAGATAGTTTGAGTTTATATTACTCAATAATCATTTTTTACTATTAGTTACTTATTTATGGTAGTATGGCTGGAATCCAGGAGCTGAGCTATATCTGCAGCCCTTTCTTTTTTTATTTTGAGACAGGATTCTGCTAAATTGCTTCAGGCCTCACTAAATTGCTGAGCCTGGCAATTTAGCGAGGCTCACAATCGTCCTGCCTCAGCCTCGCTAAATTGCCAGGCTCACTGGGATTACAGGTGTGCACCATGGTCCTAGGCTTCCCAGCCTTTTTTTTTTTTTTTTTTTTTGAGACAGGGTATCACTAAGTTGCTCAGCTGAACTTCAACTTGTGATCCTTCTGCCTCAACCTCCCAAATTGCTGGGATTACAGGTACAGGACTACTGTCTATTACTGATTCTTTCAGTAACTGATTCTTTCAGTTGGTTATTACTTTGGTAGTTGTTAGTGGTTTTTCCAATTCTATCATTTCTTCTACAGTACTTTATACTGTGAGAGTTTTTTCTTCTGTATGTATTTATATCAGTATAATCTCATGGTTGCTTATCTGTTCAAAGGGCTGTACTCCCTTACTGCCATATTTCTTAAAATCCTTTCAGGATTTGGGATTTTAAAACATTATTATTATTTAAACAGTATTTGCTATGCTTTAAATTTGTCTCCAAAATTTCAGGTGTGTGTTAGAAACCTAATCCCCAGAGCTGGGGTTGTAGCTCAGTGGTAAAGCACTTGCCTAGCATGTGTGAGGACCACACTAAAATAAAATAAATAAAATAAAGATATTGTTTGCATTTACAACTAAATTTTTTTAAAATAAAAAGAAAAAATAAATATAATCCCCAGTACAAGGGGAACGTTGAGAGGTGGGACCTTGTAGGAGCTCATGAGTGCTCTGTCTGCACTAGTGGATTCATGTCACAGGAGTGGGGTTTTTGGGGGAGGAGGAACCAGGGATTGAACTCAGGGGCACTCAATCACTGAGCCACATCCCCAGTCCTATTTTGTATTTTATTTAGAGGCAGGGTCTCATGAGTTGCTTATTGACTCACTTTTGCTGAGGCTGGCTTT